ACTAGGGCATCGAGTTATTAAAATTACCTGATATGAATGATTACTTAGGCTGTCATGCAGCCAAATGTGTAATTATCAAATTATCTGATTCATTTGGTTATAGCTGCCCATTTCTATAGATAGTATGGGCACAAACGTGTATTTTGTAGCTTGAATTGCCTGCATTTTCTTGCTACCTTGATTTCATAAAAATAAATTTAATGGGGCCTCCCTGGTGGCACAGTGGGTTGAGCGCAGTGCTGTGAAGCTGTCCACAGCCTCTACAGCGTGGATTCGATTCCTGGCTGGCCAGGGAGATACCCACATGGTGCGGCAGACCTCTCCTGTCTTGCCCGCTGCTCCCCTCAGTAGTGTTTTTGGTCCATCTGCCTGTTCTGCTCCCCACTCTGACTCTGGTGAATTCTCTCACCCTCCTGCACCTCTGGGCTGTACTCCAGTTCTTCTATAAATAAAATAAATCTTAAAAAAAAATAAAGTTAATGTTTAAGGGTAGGTAGAGGAGGAGAGAAACACAGACGTATACCTATAGTTGAACAAGTTGGGGTTGTTACTGGTATGTGAGAGAACACACACATGTGAGAGAACACACACCATGGGAAACTGTGGGTGTCTCAGTAAGAGGGAGTTAAAGGGAATATTTTGAAGATTTAGAATTCAGATGGGTGACTTGGGAGAAGGTCTAAGAAAGCAGGGTTTAACTCTGGATTGGATGCTGCTAGAAAGTCAGCAATTGGGCATCTTAGTAAATCTTACCTACAGGGAGGGGAAACAGGATTGTGAATAAAGTTGTAATTAGTAAAGAAGCAGCAGTCAGTCATTTTGGAACAAGACAGGGCTGTTGGGTATTTCCTGTTTTTTCTGTGCCTGGCCAAAATCACAGAGTGGCCTTGCTTTGGTTCTTTATTGTAGTCTCAGAGCAACCTTGTTTGAGATTGGTATTCTGTGAAATTGTTTATGTCTAGTGGGAAAGTCACAGGGTCTAGTGTGAACTCAGGGCTATACTTCTTAATAGCTACAGTTCAGTAAATAGCAGATCTTACAAGTTGATATGTGGGCAAGTGTCACATTGCCCTTTTTGTAGCAAGTAAAATTCAATTTGGGGTTGGGTAGATAAGAATATAAAAAAAATGTTCTACCAAAAAGGACAGTTCAATATACTCACTGGCCCCCTTTCAAAATAGTTGGCCCTTTCAAGAGCTAATCCTTTCTTCCCTCTTCATACTATGTTTGAGTATTCTGCTGCCTTCTCTGCAGCCTTCTCTGTTGTCTCTAAGTGAGCATTTGGCAATAAGACAAAAACAAGATGGCAGTCTTTTCTCATGATGAAGGTGATGCTAAATGAGGATTTCATTTTTGTTTTGGAAAAACATTCTTGTAAGTTTTCAATAATAAATGAGAAAAAAATTCTATCATGATGTTAAATTCAGGTTTTCTCTGCTCTGGTCATCACTAAGCATTGCTAAATATCATTTAACTCTGAATTGGTCTCCTTTTCATTACTTTTTTTTTTTTGCTAGAAAATGAATGAAAATCCCTTGCTTCTGCCATTTAGAAGCGTCTCTATGATTCTCTACTTAGAGTTTAGATTGCTGCTACCTTGTTATTCTTTGCAGAATGATCTGCTGTCACTTTGTATGTCAGTGTGACTAGTTTAGACTAGTAAAAAAAGTAAGTTATGAAGTATTTCATGATCTATTGGATGTAATCAGTTTGTTCTTATTTTAAAATTTAGGAATACCGCAAGCCACTGACTGTTTCATCAACTGGTTATCTATCCATGTACATGTTCATCCAAAAACATGTACATAAAGCACATGCTTCTTGCCTACACAGCTTTGTCCTAGACATTAGAGGACAGAGTGAAGATTGGGGCTTAGTCATTGTAGTCCCATAGCCTGCCACTTGCTAGTTATGCATGTCATGGCAGACAATTAATTTATCTCCCTAAACCTTAAATTCTTCCTCTGTAAAAAGTGGGGGTCATACTAACACTTCCCCTTAAGGCCATGGGGTAACTGGAAGAGATCATTTGAGTTAAATGTTTATTATAGTGCTTGTCACAGTTAATATTCAGTGAAATAATAATTTATTTATTTTTATAAGATAAAGTAGTGAATTACAAGATGCTGTTCTATCTCAAGGAATGAACTGAGAATGTCACTACCTAGTGAGATAAATGGGTAGATTGGAGGCATCTAATTATTCTTAGGAGGGTGTTGGGTGGTAGGGAGAGCTTGCTACAGAGAAGGCATTGTCTAAATAAGATCTGAGAGATGAATAAAAGTCATCCAAATAGGAGAGGGTGAGAGAGTAGGGGGAAGAATGAGACTAGTGGAGAACAGGTGGTCCCAGCATTGGAAACACAATGTCAAGTACCCCATGTGACAGAGGGCAGTTTCTCATGGCCAGATAGGTTGAAGAGAGAGGGAGGCAGTGGAAACTGTGACTGGAGGGGCAAATGAGGACCAGATCTCAAGACCCATGTGTTCAAAGATTAATGCCTGAGTACCTTGACTTTATCCTCAGGAAACTAGGCCTCTAGATTCATTCTCCATTATCACAACTGGCCTCTGTCCAAGCACTTAAATAATTTCTTAATGAATGGGATAAAGAAAATTGCTTAGAAATATTTATTACAGCACAAATTAAAAAATTAATTTTTTTTTTGTCTTTGGGCTTAAAGGTCAGACTTAAATTCTCATTCCTACGATGTAGTGGTGAAGATTGTCCATGCGTGCCTTAGGCCCTCTTGATTTTTCTTGCTTCCTTGTTCCTTCTGCATCCCTTATCTCATTCCCCTCCATTTTAAAGACACTTTTAAAAAATTTGACACAAGGTCTTAAATATGCATGCATCCTTATAGAATGAATATGTAGTATTATGTGTTTTTAACATACCTCATGGTATTCTGCTATACATTTCTTCCTGCACCTTTTTTTCCTCTTGCTATAAACCATCAGTGTTGCTAAATGTACTTCTATTCCATTGCTTCTGTTATAGGACAGGGAGAGGGGCAGCCCAAACCCCACAAACCTGCCTGTTCTACATGGGTTCTGCCATCCGCCGCATCAACACAAAACATATGACACTTTAATGGGAAGGAACTTTAATAAAAACTAGAAAACAATACAGGTAAGGCAAAGAGTCTAGTTTCTAAATGAAGCACCCAAAGTTACCCATCCCCTCGTGGGTAAAACTCCATCCATATGGGGTCGGCCCAGAGCAAGGCCCCAAAGCCTGCCACAAGTCTAAAACATCTTCCAGTGGGGACCCACAGAAAAGGGTCACAAACAAACAGACAAGCCCGGAAGGAAAAGAGCAAAATCAACATCAAGATAAAAGCTGCCATTGTCACCTCCCCACGGGTCTCACCCACATCTGTGTCACCCAGTCCACGACCAAAAGACAAGCGCAGTTTCTTCACATGTCTCTAGGCTCCATGCGCCTCCTCCAGGTCTCCTGGCTCCATCTTGCTTCCTTCCTTCCTCAGTCTCTTCTGCAGCTTCTCCTCTTCCTGTTCAGCTCCACCCTCTCTTGGGTGGGGCAGGGAACCTGGAACTTCCCCCTTTCCTGGGGACCACCCTGTTACACTTCAAACTTCTGTATTTCCCATATAGTATACATTGTAGCATTACTTATAATAACAGCTTGAAATACCTAAATATTGGAATGGTTTTCTAGAGAAAGGTTAATTAATGTTGGTACATTAATAATGTAAAATATCATGCTTCATCAGCAGTGATAGTGCTAGATACCATGGGAAAAATGTGTTTATGACAATATCAAGGGGGAAAGCAGAGTGATTATCTTTACCTTGTGAAGCCAACCACATAAAAATACATATTCTTAAAGCAAAGGGATCTAAAGGGTCAGAGAAAAATGAAAACAGCTTGTATGTCAGACCTAGGGAGTTATGGGTAAAATTTCTCTTGTAGCTTTAATGATTATGGTATGCCTGGAGATCTGGTCTATATGCCATAGGTAGTGTAATCTTCTGGGAGAGAAGAGATCAGAGCAATACCAATTTGCTGCCTGCCTGGGATCTGGGTGCCCCTCCTCAGCCAGAACGGCCTCTTTCTTCTCTTCCAGGTGTGTCCTGCACTCAACTTCAGATGCACAGAAAATAAAACTGAAATTAAATTTTTTTCATAAGGCTTCGATCTAGTATTGTGGACTTTATCTTCAAAATTACACAAGAAAAGGACGTGCATAAGTCATGTATATGAGTCTTCATTTCGTACAAAAAAGGACAGGTGATTCTGGAAGGTTAAGAAACTGTTAATAGTGGGCCTCCTCTGGTGGTGCAGCAGTTGAGCGATGGTTCGTTCCCCTGCCGACAGTGAGGGTCCCACAAAATAAAAACAAAAACAACCTGTTAATAGTCATTGCCCGTGGGGAGCAGGTATTGGGGATGTGCAGTGAGCAGGAGGCACATTTTCTTAAATGTATGAGAAATAGTTATATCTTCTTTGAAAAACCATGCATCAAGCATCACTTTTCAGTGTTTAAAGCCCCTAACTTCTTAAACACCGCTCTTAAAATGCTTGATTTTTAACTCACTACCGAGCCTTCCAAAATAACATTCATATTTTGAGTCTCAAATTGTGCACCTCGCTAGTGCCCACGCTGACTAGCGCTAAGGCTGAGGACGCAGAGCCGCCTCGGAGGGACCCTGGGGGTTCCGGCGCGATCCGCCGAACAAGGGCCTCGCGTCAGGCTTCTCCCTCCAAGTTAGGTGCGCGCGACCCTCGAAGGTTTCCTGGTCCCTGCGGCCCCACAGCCCCGGGGCGGGCCTCGCGCAGTCTCCCGCGCGGCTGTCCCCAGGCCGCGCCACCGGCTCGCGGGGGTCTCCGCTGGGTGCGGGGAGCCGGCGCCCCCGGCCGCCGCCGCCCACGCCGCGCCCCAGGGTGGCCGCCCCGCCCGCCGCGTCACCGGGCGCAGGCGAGCACCTACCACCGGCGGAGGAAGGACGGGTGAGGCCGCGACCCTTCCCCCTGCCGGCCGCGCCGGGGCTCGGGTCCCGTGGGCCCGGCGCTAAATTTAAAAACTTAACCGCTGCCAGCGGCTGCCTCCGGAAACGAAAGCAAAGTCGCCCCAAGGCCGCCTCCCGGATTCTCGCGGCCCGTCGCGCGCCGCGCTACCCGGAATAGACCCTCCTCCCGCCATTTTCGACCCGCTCCGGGCAGGCCCCGCGCCCCGAGGGCTGAGGCCTGCTCGCTCGCGCAGGGAGGAGCCGGGCGCCATGGCGGGCGGCGGGGACGGCGGGGACGGGGCTCGCGCCCGGCAGCACGTGTTCCTGCTCCCAGGTAAACACGCCCGGTCCCGAGCGCGCTGAGCGGCCGACGGGGGCGGCGCCCGGGCGGGCTCCCTCCTGCGGGGGCCCTCGCCTCCTCTGCGGCCCCGGGGCTCGTCCCCCCCGCCGGTTCCGCTCCCCGCGCGGAGGCGAGCGCCCCCCGCACGGCCCTCGAGCGCGGGGGCCTGACGGCCTTGTAGTCCCCACACAAAGTTACGCAAGTTGGTTACACTCTACCCTTTACAGCTTGTTAAGGTTTCAAAGCCGAAAGTCGGGCTCGCCACGGACCTGCGTTCCCAGGCTCGACTTCCTCGCGCACTTGGTCGTGGGGAGGGAGCAGGGCCTGCTAGCGCGACCAGGCTCAGGGTCTTAGGGTGCACGGGCGGGGTCCGGAGTGCCTGCCTTGAAGGTGTAATTTGCTACCCACCGTCCCCCCACTAGGTTGCTGGCCCAGTGTCTGGAGCCCTACAGCGTCGGGATCTAGGGTCCAGTGGGCCAGCAATGGCCTAGGAGATAATAGGGCCCCTGCCCTGGGCCAGGCCTTGGGTGGCTGGGCTGGATGATGGTCGCTTCCAGGACAAGGGTTCGAAGAGACTCCAGAGGGTGTTGACCTTAGGAGTGCTGGAGCCAGACCTCTCAGCCTGCCCCTGGACCAGGAGAAGCTGCCATCCAGGGCCTTGGGCGCTCGGGATGATGGACAGGACAGTCAGTTGCTGTATCCCGAGCAGCCCAGTAAGTGGCAGAATAAAGGAAGTTTAGGGAAATTTAGCTTTTATATCGGATGATGGTTGATGTGATAGTATATCCCTGGTAATAAGAATCCGTTTTGTTCACTGTATTTTTAATTTTGAGATTTAGCCCAGCAAAAGCAACATTATTGCAGCAAATATTTCATGACGATATAGTTGCCCAGTAATCTAGATTTTTACTGTGGATATTGAAAATTGTTACATGACAGTTAAGGATATGTTTTGTATGTATGCTTAACTTTCCCCCTTTATAAAGAGGTAAAACATACATTCAATAAAATGTAAGAACTTAAATGTACAATTCAGTGAACTTTTCATATCTAACTCTGTCACTCTCTCCCAGGTCAAGATGTAGAACTTTTCTAGGAAATTCCTCTTGCCTGCTGCTAGATAGCCTAGGCTTTATGCTGATGTCTGTCACCAGCAATTTTTGTTTTTGCCTGTTTAGATAAGTGTGTAGTCCTTTCGCTCAGCATTATGTATGAGATTCATCCATACAGTGTATAGTAGTAGTTTGGTTTGTTGGTTGATTTCTGTTTTCATTGCTGGGTATATTTTATTGTATGAACATTCATAGTGTTTATCTCCTCTACTGTCGATGGAACATTTGGATTGTTTCTACTTTATAACTACTGTGAATTACACTTCTAAGTAAGTTTTATAATTTTCTCTTTTTAAAGTCTATCGAATTTTATTGATTTACCGTGTATTTGTAAATCTGTGTACTTTAGGGGTACCTTCACATTTCAACATGTGTACATGCTTCACCCACCCTCTATCAAAATTCCATTGCCACTACCCTATCACCTTTATCCCCTCATCTCCTTTTTTCTCTTCCTCTCCTGTCCTCCCTTTCCCTTCTGGTAACCCCGGTAGTTTTCACAGAATCTAAGAGTTATTTTTGTTGTGTTTTGCCAGTTTGTTTTATTTGGTTATTTATATTCCACAACTGAATGAAACCATCAGGTAATTGGCTTTCACTTTCTGATTAATTTCACTTCATTCCAGTTCCATCCATATTGTAACCAAGGCACAATCTTTTTTTTTTTTTTTTAAAGATTTATTTATTTATACAAGTACTGGGTACAGTCAGAAGCGCGGGAGGGTGAGAGAATTCACCAGAGCCAGAGCGGGGAGCAGAGCAGGCAGAAGGACAGAGGTACACTGCTGAGGGGAGCAGCGGATGGCAGGAGAGGTCTGCCGCACCATGTGGGACCCTCGCCGGTGGGATCGAACCGGCGCTGCAGAGGCTGCAGGCAGCTTCGCAACCCAGCGCTCAACCGCTGCGCCACCAGGAAGGCCCGCACAATCTTATTTTTAATAACTAAGTAGGATTCTATTGAGTATATACATCACAGTTTCTTGATCTGGTTATATATCTGTGGACTTTAGGTTAATTGCATGTCTTAGCTATTGTGAATAATGCTGCTGTGAACATGGGGGTGCATAACTTTTTATTCTAGTGTTTTTGTATTCTTTGGATAAATACCTAAAAATGGTATTGCTGAATCATATGGCATCTCCATTTTTACTTCTTAAAGGGACCTCCATATGTTTTCCAGAGACTATACCAATTTACATTCCCACCAATAGTGAATAAGAATTCTTTTTCTAAGAAAATTCTTGTAGGAAATTTCTCTAGGGTATATACTGAAGAGTGTCATTGCTGGTTCTAGGTACTTCCTGTTAAGCTTTAGTACATGTTGCCTAATGATTTTCTAAAGTGGTTCTACCTTTTTACCCCCACCCCACCAGTGTGTGAGGGTTTGTTGTTTTATGGCCTCACTAGAGATGTTTGTATGGTAAAACAGTTAATGCAAAATTCAGGTTTTTTATTGAATCTGGCAAAGGATTACTTTTATACATGCTTTACATGAGAAAAACCATCCTCTCACTTTTTCCACGTTAATGAGTTGTAAAGGGTAGGAACTCTAATCATTCTTTTAGAATGAAATACATGATTATTATTATTGTTGTTATTATTAGGATATACACAGTGGCTGAGGATAATTTTGCATTTCTTATTTTGTTCTGTTTAATCAGCACTGACATTTTCATTCTTAAAGCATTTGTGTCTTTATTGTTTTAAACACAGAAACCTTCATAATGACATCATTGTTCACAGCCTTGAAAACCAAAAGTTCATGTTTACAACTGAGCTGTGAGAAGAATTTCAGCGTGATTCCAGTTCAAAGTTGAGATGTTCTGTAATCTTTGAACTCATTGGAGTAGGCTAACAGGCTGTTCAGGAACTGATAGGAGGAACTGTGTGGTCAGGCAGGCCAGTTCTGAATACAATTTGAGCTTTTGGTCCTGTAGTTCCTCCAGTCGGCCTCTAGCGCCACCTGCAGACTCTGAGAGTACAAACATTGATGGTTGGGTGGTTACTGCAGAGTGACCATGCTTCACAAACTTGAGGACAGCAGTCAGTTGGGTCCCACCTGTGAAGTTCTGGAGGATTTTTAATGCTTTAAATTTATAAAAAATTCCCAGGTGCTGCTGATGCTGCCGATGGGGGTCAGCATTAGGAACACCTGCAGTGAGACCAACCCTAGGTATAGTGGGGGCAAGGAATGACTCACCTCAGGTTCAGCTGTCTTTGCACTGGGCCAGAAGGTACATGGCAGAGGAGTGCATACATGCACACGGTAGGAGGCCTGCCTTCACAGATGTTTTTTTTTTTTTTTTTTTCCCCCCACCAGATGGGGAAATTAGCCCCAGTAGATTACACATTTGAGAGGAGGGGCTATATATCTTTGGCTGAGTGAGTACCTTAGGTATAGTAAAGTTGGGTCCTTAGTGAAAAATACATTATATACCATTTTTCAAAAGTATTTGGTGGAAGCAGTTTTAGAAGACTTCTGGAATACTGGAAAAACTGCTGTATACTGAAAAGTGAGCACACTAACCAGTGTACCAACAGAACCTTAGAGATTTATCCATGAGGCAAGTGTCAGGTCACCAAGCCTTAGGATGACACTTTTTCCCAACATTTAATTCATATTATTTATTTAATAGCCTACCATAGCATTATGTCAAATCTCGAAGAATATATTTAAAAATATTATTTAGGTCTCTTTGCCTCTTGGCTTGTCCTAAACAAAAGTTTTAATTACTCTAAGAGCCCATTAGTGTCTCTACTTTTTGGAATATGGTAGAAGTCTCCGTTCCTCTTTATTGCACTAAAAGTAAGTTTAAATCATGTTTTTCTCTAGTCCAAGTCTTGTATAAGGCTGTCAGTTGTCCACTCCACTAAGTTGGCGTGGACCCTAAAGAACAACTGGGAAGAGATGCAGTGAGTATAGGACAAGACTATGTTTTTTGCGATTATAGCTGAACCCTGTTACTGAGCCACCTTCAAGGAAATGTTAAAGCATAAGGCAACCCTAAGGTTATATGAGTTAAAAAAAGGAAAGATAGATGTATGAGTTAAAAAAGGAAAGATATGATCTCAGGATTATTAAAGAACTCATTTGGGTCCACTTAGGCCAAAAACATTCCTTAATCAGTCCCCTGATTATGAAGTACTCAGATCTAACTGGACTTCAGATTACATCTTCAGCTGTAGACAAGTTTTGCAGAAAAGTTACTCCCTTTTATTTCATGAAAGTGCATGTTAAAAAGTATTTTCGGTAAGTTTGTGTTTGTTATTTACTTACCCATAGCTAGCATAATTCCATAATTTACTTACCCATAGCTAGCATAATTTGAGGGAGCTAAGAAACTCAAGCTTGCCTGCCTTCCTTAGGCATTCCAAATACAGTAAAGAGCTTTTTATGTGATGTGCCATGATTATCACACACAATATATGTTTTTAAATATTTATTTATAATACAAGAACTGGGATGTAGGCCAGAGGTGTGGTGGGGGTGTGTGTGTGCGTGTGTGAGAGAGAGAGGATTCACTGAGACTGGTTGGGGAGCAGAACAGGCAGATCTACTGAAATACACTGCTGAGGGGAAGAGCAGGTGAGACAGGAGAGATCTGCTAGGCCTTGTGGGTTAGCTCCCTGGCTGGCCAGGGATGGAACTCCTGCTGCAGTGGCTGCTGATAGCTTGATAGTGCTGTGTCTTTAACCCCTGTGCCATCAGGGAGGCCCTCATATACAATATTAATCAGATTTGTCGCCAAATGAAATGCAAAAAATAGATGTAAAAGCGTTGTATGAATGTAGGCTCTAGAACTTTGTTCTACTCAAAGGATTTAAAAAGTCAAATTAAAAAGAGAAAACAGATTTTCTGATTTAATGATATAAAATTTATTT